TGGATATCTACCTGATAGATTTATTTGGTGTTTTCAGCTTAGGCATCTCTTGATACAACTGCCTATTACTTACAATTTTTCCTTACTTCCCTGCCTGTTTTTTATTCTCTTTTTGATATAGCCCTGTTAAAATCTTGTACCATTTCTGATGGGTATGTTTAGCAACTTAATTTTAGCCTCTTACACTTGCATAAGCTTTGGACTGCATATTCAAAGCACCTATGATCACCATGTGTGGAAAGGCAAAAAGTTAAAAACTATCTTTGTCCAACTGCTTGTGGACTTGCCTAGCAGATTACCCATAATTATATTAAAGAACTTTATTTTTCTTAAGAGTATCAATGAAAAATCTTTAAAAGTAATTAGGGAGAGATGTTTCTCAAGATCCCAGAGCAACTGCCAAGACACTACTGAATCACTTAGCCAAGTCAAAAATTGTAGTCTTAAAAAAGGCAATCACTTGAACCCTGAACATAAATGGACTGTAGATCAAGAAAACCCCTGCTTCTGCAGAAGAAACATCTTCAAGCTAGACTGACACATGCTAAAGATAACCTGGAGAAAGGTTAATCACACTGGAAGTACATCCTCTGGTCAGATGACTAAGGTCTTTTCCAGAAGACCATAAAAGAGTTTGAGAGATCTGCCAAAAACAATGGGATGGGATTGCTTAGTAGATAAGTGCAGGACTGCTTGAAAACAAATGAAACTGTCACTAGGCTGTCATCCAGCTAAAAAGAAACAAAATTAACTATTAGCATTCTGGGTGGGATAATTCTGTTGGCAAATTAATGTAAGCATGCAAACTAAAACTAGTATATTTGGAAAAGTCATGCTAATCCTGGTTCAGAGGAAAAAAACGAATAATATTATTTTCACAGGGGGGCTAATATTTCTTTCGTCATCTGACTCTTATAGACATTTTGATTTAGTGAATACTTAAAACCTGTAAATAAAGCAGTGAGGTAACAGAGTGTTTACCCTGTGACAACATCATAGTTGAGGGTGGGATAGTCTTTGGAAACGGGAGGAACTAGCGCCTCTGGCTGCCATTCCTCAATCAGTTCTTCCTTTTCCTGTAATGTAGAATCATGTGAGAAGAGTTTGGTAACAAAAAATAATACTGTTTGATTTTCACCGCACGGTTTACCTTCTCTGTCAGTTTATACGTCTCATGAAGTTTGTAGGTCTTAGAGAATAGAAGCCTAATTATCCACAATATGAGGATTCCCTCCAAAATAAGGTGGTAAGCAGGAGCCTGAGGGGGGGAAAAAATACTTGTTTTTGAAACATGCTCCAAAAAAATGCATTTTTACACAGGAAAGAATTAAAATAAGTGGAAACATTTCAGAAACATTGCAAATGCCTGAATGAAATTTAAATGCAACATAAACAACTAAGCTGTAACTTAATACATCCATCAGATAGCTGTATAAAATCCCACCTCTAAATCTTTGAATTCCTGTTTTCAGTCGCATTGCCACAAGTGTACAAAAAGCAAGTGCCTAGCCAAGAAATGGGCCTTTTCAAACATTTACAAAAGAATGGGTTGCTCTAACGAGATTACTGAATTTGAGCATGGTACTGTAATATGATGTAGCAATTAAGTTTGTGAAATTTCTTGCCTCTGAGATATTCCATAACTAATTGTAATCGGTATTAGTGCAGAGTAGTAATGTTTATAATTCAAAGAAATTTAGCTGCGACGCTGCAGACCATGTAAAGTTCTAGAGCGGTAGTGCTAAGTGCTAAGGCACACCACTTGTAAAAGTTGAGCATTCCAAACCTCCTCTTAGCACATGAACTGTGCATCAGGAACTTCATGGCATTTATTTCCACAGCCAAGCATCTCTTATAAATGTAGTTGGCCCAATACTTTTTGATGTAGTAAAAGAGGACTTGTAAGGGGTACGTGTAACAGAGTAGGATGCTGACCAGGAGGATGAGGAAGAAGAGGAAGAACTGAAATGGCAGTAAAAACAAGTTCAGCACTGTTGAACACTCATGTCTTCAACCCAATCATGCTGGCTGCACCACCATGTGCAAGGTTACAAAAATTAAGAGGAACACAATCAGCTAAAACAACAGTGAGGTCCAAAGCATACTGCTGCATTTTTACTAGGGTTTCAACAAATAAAATAACTCAATTATAAAAAATCCTCAACACAAATGTTTTGCTCCGATGCTTCGTTTAATACATGGCACTGTAGTGTGCAGTTGTTACCATGTAAACGCGAGCTTTTCACCCATGTTTGTGACTAAAAATAGACTTGCAATAGGAACATATCTAAGAACAAGCATGTGAATACGTAGTATGAAGACATTTAAGCCTACGCAGCCCCCAATTTTTCAACACAAAGACTTATAACACAACAGCAGCAGTGATAAAGTCAGGAAGAGTGAAATAAAATGTTTTTCTAGTGTTCAAAACAGCAGTGCTGCTCCTGTAATTGCCATTGAAACCTTTACTGGGGAAAGGTAGTGGTCCTTAATGAAAGCACCTGATCAACAAACTCTGACATGAAGAAAAGTGAAATTTGTAGCTTCTCCATCCACCACTGTTTGCTTTATACAGCGAGAAGCTACAGTAAAGCTGCAGAAATTATATTAAAATATGCAGATGAACTGTTAACTTAGTCTGACACATGTTTAAATTAGGCAGCCTGTTGAAGGCTGATGGCAGCCGTCCCACTTTTTATCGCAGTGATAACTGCAGCAAGCAGGGGGGAGTCAGTTGACAGTTAACAGCTGAAATGTCCTATGTCCAAAATTAATGTCTTATGTTGGACACTGAATTATTATTAACATTTTTTATTAACCTCATACACCATCATAACAGAAAATTAAAGATATGAAGATGTGACAAACTGAGGATGAGGATACTTGCATGTCCAAGACAAGTCAACATTTTTCTAACTGCCTAGATTGGTCATCTAGAGCCTAACTAACATAAAGAAAGAAAGAGGCAACAATTCACAAATACAGCCAATTTAAAATCAACAATTAATGTAGCTTGTATGAATGGACTGATTCTTATATAGTGCTTTTCTACTCTCTCTGAGCACTCAAAGTGCTTTATACAACATGCCACACTCACCCATTCACACAAGCACTTTCTTTTATGCTTTAAGTTCTTTCTATCTATAAGCATTCACACACTCAAAGTAACTTGGGGTTAATATTTGCCCAAGGATACTTGGCATGCAGACTGGGGCAACCTTCTGATTAGTAAGTGACCTGTTCTACCTCCTGAACTACAGCCACCCCACAGGACCATGCAAACCTCTGCAGAAAGGCCACAGCTGGCTCTCTTTTTCAAATCCAGAGCCTTCCTCTGAAGTGATAGCACTAACCATTGTTCTACTTGTCATTGCTTAAAAAATGTAACATGGACACTTGTGAATAGTTGAAGAGATCTCAAAGATAAAGTCTGCTCCTACTTCATTCCATCATGACAGTGCCCTACCAAATGACGGAAGAGACGCCCTGTACACACACAAGTAGCCGATCACTCTGATAAGTTTCCCCGATCACTAACCAAAAACGTGAAGGAAGACAGAAATCTACAGTCAGACCACAAGAGTAATTCTAACAATAATAAAAATAACAACAACAATAATAATAATAATAATAAAACAGCCAATCATAGCACTGATAAACAAAAGCTACAACACCTCCAAAAGTTGATTCTGTTCATCTGGACGTAGCGTTTTGTGAACAGAATCAACTTTTGGAGATTTACTTACCTGGATGATTGAGCATGCATCAAGACGTTAAAAAGCTACAACAGTTAGCCTGACATCGTCAGCATAGTTTGAAGCTCTTATCGTAGCAGCTCTATCGTACTATGTGCATTTAGAAACTTAACTCCAGCGCTGTAGCTCACCTAATGTGTAAGCAGTAGCTAGCTACTACATACTTCCTTGATGAGTTACTTCTTCGCTGAACAGCTACGGGCTAAGCCTTTCATCGGGTCGTAACCGAGAACTTTACAGTTAACAACCTGGGACAAATTTAACAGCACCAACGTATAGCCAAGCATAAGAAAAATCGAGTAAACGTCAGGGAATAATTCGGCCCAACAACTGAGGAAAGAAACACTTACCTCATAAAACGCCTGGACCATTTCCACCAACACCCATTGCTGTCCGGTCGCCATGTTTGACTTCCTAAAACGTCACTCGCAATCACGCCACACCCCTATTACGTCACCCACCACTGCTACTGTCCTTATCTCACGATAATGACTTTATTTTTATATTTCCTAAAAGAATTAAATCAAATAATTAAACCACCCAAGTATAATTGCACAGCTTTTTATTATAATAAAAAATAAAAACTCTTACTCTATGCAATACTGTACTAAATGCCACTTTAAATCTTGTACTGCTCTAAAAATTTGCACTGCTGCTCACTCTTGCCACTTTATCTCATGTGCAATCACGTTGTCCGACCCCACCTCAATATATGAATATTGAGGTAAGGTGGTCCATCAATACATTTCTATTTTCTTTTATTTCTTGGAACTGTAATTTTAGTGTTATATTGCATTATAATTTTAACTTGCAGTGCTATATTGTACTATGCTGCTGAGAGACTTGTCTTCTGCTCCTCTAACACATTTCATTGCAATGTTGACCCTGTGCTAACTTGCTTATGACAAATATAGCTGAAAACTGAAAACTAATATCAAAAAGGTGATTGAATGATTACATTTAATTAAAATGAATAACTACATAAAGCATTAGTGTGATGAATGAATTTAATACTCGAAACTGACTGACTGTACTGAAACAAATTATCAAAGAACAAAAGTAAAATTTAGTAAATGCTGGTTTCTACAAGCAGTGCTTTGGCACAGGATTTGAAAAACAAAAACATTCCAAACAAACTAAATTTGGGTCAAAAACATGGGTCAGATTTGTTTTAGTCCAGACGCAGCAATGACACACAATATTATCTCTGTGATTGATTGTAGATACAAATTCGTGCAAAATGGCTCATGGCTAACAAAGTGTCCTTTATTTAGCCCAACAATTTTCTGTGGCAAAATACAAAGAAAACATACAAAGAGAAACTGCAGCATTATCAGAATGCACCATCAGAAGAACATCCCATGCGTGAAAGACGCCAGCGAAAAATAGCTTTATTACAGGTGCTAGAGGTCTGCCTGAACTGACAGGAACAGGGGTGGCTCAAAATATTTATACCAGAAAGTGCTGCATAATCAATCAGTCAACCAATCAAAAGGCTTGGCCAAGAACTCACCAACTTCAAGCTTCAAAAACCAACTGTGTGTGGAGCTGTGACATCTGGTGGAGAGCTTTGTTTTGCCACCAGTGCAGGCAGAGCCTTTTGGGGCACTGTTTTGAGACGGTGCAAAAACTAGCAAGTTAAACTAACTGTTGTAGTGGGCAAAGGAAGGAAATAGAATGACACTCAAATTTCAGTTGGTTCCAGATCACTGTCTTGAAAACTGAAAAGTTGATTTGTTTTTCATTTGTGTGTAATTTCAGCTTTTCTAGAGTCTGTCCTAATGACTTCTGTAGTCACATTTAACAACAACAAAAATAAAAATAGAATCAATAAAGGATAATCACACATCTTCTATTAAGAATTAAAATCAATCATTTACACTAAGGATAATTACAATAAAAATGGTCAATAAAACAATAAAAAAAATTTCAGAGCCAGTAAATTAACAGCATTCAAACTTTGCATTTCCATATGAACATCATTAAATCAACGTGAAATAATTTAAAATTGAATTTTCAACCAACCCTGTACTAGATTTACCTCAAATGTCTAAATGACTTTAAAGGTCACCCAATCATTGCTTAATCAGTCAGGGGAGAAAGCCTATATTTAATTCAGAAACAGGACTTCAGTCTAAAACAAGATTTAGACATTTGCTTATATTTTACAATCAAATCTCATTTTTATAATAAATACTACTGCTTATATCAGCTCTAGAGTTACAGAGAGCTGTAAACTTTATGCTGAAATTGATCTTAAACTGTACAAAAGTTAAAATGTCTGTTTTAAAATGCAAAAACTGGTTAGTATAGTACTTTAATTCTTCATATTAATAAAACAATACCTCACCATCTGGCTGCATGGCAAACTTAAAGTGCATTATAACACATAATTATCTAAGCTTATAAATGCTGTGTCTGAAATTGTAAGATGTTTTTGATTTGTTTTGCAGAAAAAAAAATCTTTTGTGCATGAATAAGAAAGTATTGTGAAAGTGGTTATCCTGCCTTTAACTGAGTATTTTATTTATTGGTAGGTAGTGCATTCCACTTTCAAGCCTTTAGATGCAGCGTGTCATTTTACCTTTGGTTTAATCACAGAAATGATTATTTATTTATTTATAATGTAAAAATATAAGTGTGATGGCGGTTCAGGGGGTAGTGCCAGGGAGGCTGGAGTTGGAGGTGGCAACAACTGGGAAGCTGCTGGGGCAGCAAAGTGAAAGGCACAGTTGTACATAAACGCACACAACGTGCAACGCTGAGTGTCTCGGGTCCTTTTGGTGTTTACAATAATTTTTTTAATTTATAAAGCTATAATGTCATTTTTCATTGGTATTTGATTTAAGCTGTGCCTACATTTATTGTATGCATCCTGGGTAACTGAGAATGAGGTTCTGTCTTAGTGCATCTTCCTAGGTTTTGATTGAGTAAAATGATGGCAGTGAAGCTGCTGAATTATGATACTCTAAAATTAATGAAAGCAACATTATATTTAGACTTGAGACTGGAAATAAGACAGCTGAGCAGGACTTATTTCTAGAACAGAAGCATACAAGAAATGTGGACAGACGGTAACTACACGGGCTCAGCTTCAGCTTCTGCACGAGCCTATTTCTAAACTGCAGTGGGAGATTAAGGTAGATTAGTTTACCGTAGATCAATACAGCAGTACCAAATCCCTCACCTAAACATACATACAGATTGTTTAGCGCAGCACACCATGCTGCTCAATGAGAACTTATGGAGAGAAACAACAAATTATCTAATTCACTGACTCACTGAGTTGTAGGCAGCATAATTGTTGTAGGCGACAATTATGCTACAGACTCAAACTTGTAGCAAAGTAAAATATCACTCTATGAATAACTTCCAGCATTTATAAATCTCACTTACCATATCAATAATTTCTGTTGATTTCATTTTCTGATAGTACTTTTTAATTGCCAAGTATTTTGAATAATGCAACTTGTTCTTTGGGTCATTTAATTAATTCCTCAACTTACCCAGATTAGCAAGTAGTTAATTTATATCCGGGTATAAAAAGGAGACTAGTAGAGAGTGATGCATAACTGTACAAATAACAATCAGCTACATTTAGCTATTACATATAACAAATATTTATTTTTTTCATTTTTTCCAATTTTCCAGCTGGTTTGGAATAAAGTAAAGAAGCAGATAGTTGGCCTTGCTTCTGCACTAAATTGGGTGCAGATCTTTTCTATCTCCTTTTGGTGTCTTCAACATTGGTCTATCTCCTGCTGGTTAAGCTGTGTCTAGTACCATTTCATTGGTTAGAGTACACTCAGTTTTAGAGACATGACTGCCTTGGGCCCCACAGTGCATAGCTATCTGCGTTTAAGCAGAACAGAAAGTAGAGGAGTCCTGGAAAGTTGAAGTATCAGGATGAAGTTCTGTTATAGCCTACCTCTATGTGTTTCTCAAGCCACATCTCTGCTAACTGCACAGCTGATGCAAATGCACTTGCTCTTGACCCAAGACACATTTTATATTGCTTCTGTTCAAGGCTTGAATTGCAATTGATAGGATGATAAACGTGGACAATTCCTGGTTCTTGACTGCGTAAAACCTTTAAACCAGAATTAATAACCTTGGTGTAGAAGTCTACATCTTCCAACCCCCAGCCTAGGATGGATGTATCAAAACCTCCAGCTTTTAGTAAATCGCTCTTAAAAACACAGGTGGTTCCAAAGCCATAATCACGCCAAAAGCCACTTTTCTTGGTGAGCACAAAGTTGTTTTCACTTGGGGCTTTTTCACCGTACACAATCTTAGGGCTGTATTGGCTAAAGATAACAGGAAAATAGACCTGTCTCCCTTGAATAGCATTATCTCTGCAGCGCTGCAGAGCATCACCACTAAAGATTAGATCTACATCACAGAGGAACAGTAAAGTGTCATTATCAAGCTGTGACGAACCCAGCTCTAGAGCCAGCCCTCGTGAAAAATTTCCTGTCATGGGGATTACAGACATATCAGCTTTAGGATACTTTCTCTTATAGTCCATTATTAAATGAATATGCTTTTTTATATTCTTATTGTTTACATTGTCCACCAAAATGATGCAGAGCTGAACATTTTGTTTAGGTATCAAACACACTTTCTCAAAGTTCTCCATAAACCGAATAAAAGTGCCATAGCGACCAGACAGTGGGACAAGAATGCTGATCTTTTTCTGGCTTTGCTCCCACATTTCTCTTGTTGACTCATAGAACTGGAAAGGTGACAAGAACTTCAGAGAGTTGGATAGGAATGACAGGGATTGGGATTCAGAGTTGATGGCAGCCATAAGTTCTGAAACATTTAGATCTTCAGCTTCACTAAAGAAAGGTCGGCTGAAGGACTGTTGAAGGTAAGCATGCCGCCTCACAGGCAGAGTTATTTTACGTCCCTTGTGTTTTTTGTACAGAAGCAACAAGTCTAAGACGTATTCTGCACCATGTATTGGATCCACCCTGTAGTAGCCATACTGAATCTCTTTAAAGTCAATTACATGGCCACGTGTCTTTGAATTTTCATTAATCATTTCCATGACCTCTAGTATAATATTGTCTTCAAGGGCAGTCCGAAGCAATTTTCCAAGGCTTTGCCTAGCCATCTTGTTTTCAATGGCAGAATAAATATGTTGGCCTGTCAGGAAATCCCACTCAGTGACATCATTTCTCTCACTGGGCACATAGCGCATGTAGGAAGGTGGAGACCCCAGCTGTTGGTCCTCCCACAGTATTTCTGTATCACTAAGATAACTCATATGTAGGCCTTCACGATGGAGTAGGATCGTGCGGTAACGGAGCCTTGAGATCTCACAGCTGAGCATGTAGTTGTGGAGCCGGTACTGGTAGGCAGGACTTTTGTTGGGATGGAGCGTAATGGCATTGTGGATCTTGCGACTGTGAAGTTCTTCAATGAAGCCTTTTTTGTTGTGTTCATAGTTTTCATAGAACAGTTGCTGCATCTACGGAAAGAATTTAAAAGTAATAAGAGTATGGATGTCCAAGCATCAATACACACAACATTGTTGATTAGAGCTGGATGATATATATCATTAGCAATTCAAATTTGTTAAACAACAAGACAATTATTTTTCTTTCACGAAACAAAATACATTCCATGTCCTAATTGCTTGCTGGCCTTGGTAGCTGGGGATTGGTCTGCCAGGGTCTCTGTCCTGGCTGCCATCCAGCACTCATTGCACCTGACGCCTATGGTGCCTCATGCGGGAAGCGGCCTCCGGAAGGGGGGCCTATGTCCCTTTTTCAGGCTGGGCACAGCTGGGCTCCATGGACTAAAGCCGGGCCCTCGGGCACCCTCTTCGGTCCCAATCTCTAGTGTGGGGATCCAGCAACCCTATCCCGGGCAGGATGAACAGTTCCCTCAATCCTCTGCACATAGGGGTTTTTGAATTGCTCTTTGTCTGTTCCCTCAACCAGAACTAATTTGGCATAGGAGACCCTACCAGGGCAACACAGCCCCTGGTATCCCTGGGACACACAAACCACTCCACTACGATAAGGTACCATTTCGCAGAGGGACAGTACAGTTGGGTGACCTCCAAGAAAATATCAATTAATATCTGTGATATCTGTGAATATATAGGAAAATACTGACTGGAAGGATCACTCACAGATTTTAGAAGTCTGACAAAAAAGAAATAATCCAATATGCTAAGAACAGGGGTGGATCTACATGGGGGTGTGAGGGGCACACTGCCCCTCTGCTGTAGAGGCCCACCACAACTTTTATGTCTTTAAAATACTT